GCAATGACCACCTTTTGGCACCCCTCCTCCAGAGACTATTCTGCATCTAGACCTGGTTGTGCAATGGGCGCAGGTGCGGTGGCCGCTCCAGAGTGCTAACCCCACAAACAAAACAAAAACCAGACCTGGAGGCCTCACGACGCCGTGACCCTCCAGAGTCACCTGTTGGACTAGACTCAGCGGTGCAATGGACAGGTAGTATCCCACTGACCCGTCCTGCTCGACGACTAGCTGTGGATAAAGGAGGATAGACAGACTAATAGTTTAGCTCGACATGTCGGGGCTCAACTTAATAATATTCATCAATTATCAACAATCAATTCAAATATCAATCTCATAAAATATTATCAACTTCAATATCTTCCAATTAAATACCATCAACTGATTTATAGCGCATCAAATCAACTACAGTTTGATACTCTACTCAATACTCACACAGGTTTCTGATGAATGTTTTCAACAATGATAAATATCAACATCACAGCGATTAAAATAATTATTAAACGACTCACCCTACCGTTGATATGGCAAATATCATGAATCTCTACCTCTTATTGGATTGGAAAACATCACACACCAATAGAACCAAGATTACTCAGTGATAACTCACTCATACCAATGGAACCCAGATTACTCAGTGACAAACTCACCTTTGAATAATAATTTGTAATAAACACTCACACTCGAACTCAAACTACCCCGATGAAGTGTGGGTTAAAACTAATTCTAACTCGACGATTTTTAGAGAATTGGTTCTCACAGTCTTAAAGACATCTGGTTTCGATCATCGACCACTCGGGGGTGGCTTGACTTGACCCTCGTAAATATTCCAAGTTTTATGGGTTTTCTCAGAAAAACTCTCGAGGTCTGTTTATAAAAACGTATTTAGTTAATTAATCGAGATTAGAAAACGATGTAAGTATCAGGAATAATATTGCCATTCCCTAAAGAAAAGTGAGAAAAAAAAAATAAAAATTACGGTGGAAAACCTTGTCTTACAATTTTGCCTTTGACTGTTCACGTTGCTCCAACTTACCATGCCGTACCCTATTAAGATTTTGTTGTGAAATTTCGAACGAAATGTTAACCGATGTCGTTATCGAAATTACCTATTTATTTAAGTAATGATTTTGCTAACTTAAAGTGCTTGGGCCGGAATGAACTTGAAATGTAAGCGGATGGATTCACGAGTCACAAAGCAATGACGACAGAGATTTGGTCTCTGGTTCCAATTCACAAACCCCAAGTTAGGTTTAAGAGTTAATTTCATTTTATCATTTATTTCTTATTTAGAGTTGTTAAGTTTACAGATGAAAACCAAGGTTGTCGGTACAAAAACTACAATATTTTTCCAAATTGAATAATAAAAACATAATTACGTTAAAATTATTTGAATATTCCTTTTTAATAATAAATAAAAGCGTAGGAAATAATTTTTTTTTCCGTTTGTTATGAAATATTTACTGTTTTTAATATTAATTCAATTTTTCTACATTTGTCAAAACACATTCAGCTCAAATGACCCGAAATGAACTCGTCACCAGTACTTTTTGTCAATTATTATTAGTTAAAGTTTTGATAAACTTTCTTTGTTTATTTTTTTTATTTCTTAAATGTGACAAGTTTGATCATTTAAAAAATTTATTGAAACATTTTGTGTTCACTAAAGTTGTAAAACCACCATAAAACTACATACTTACTTGAATATATTGTAGTTTGTAGGAGAGTAAAAAAAAACTCTTGTATAAGCAAATCAAGTTTATTTACAGCAGTGTAAGTAAAAAAATATTTACAATTTTACAAAAATAAAAAAAATGCATGAAGTTGAGCGGACTTTATACACTTGATTGTGGTTGTTTGAACTAAACTTGGGGTAAATTACCATCCACCACCACCTCCGCCTGTAATAAGACAAATCACAAAGTTTCACATAAAGAGGTTGTTAAGACAACTTACCGGATTTCCATCCGCCACCACCTCCTCCAAAACCACCGCCGCCTCCGTATCCACCACCGCCACCTCCATGACCTCCACTGCCGCCTCCATTAGGTACAATAATTTTAATAATTTTCACTATTGGGGCTCCGCCACCTCCACCGCC